AGGAGGAGGAGCAGGAGGAGGAGGAGCAGCAGGAGGAGGAGGAGCAGGAGGAGGAGGAGCAGGAGGAGGAGGAGCAGGAGGAGGAGGAGGTGCTCGCTGTCTTCCCCTGGCTTCCTCGGGGTGCAGGGTGGCAGGCAAGGTGCTGATCGTGGAGCTGATGTGACACTAGCGTGACAAGGTCTCCGCTGACCCAGCATGCGTAGGGTGAGAAGCAGGGAAGCAGATTCACAGGGACCACGTGGCCCTATCCGGGGCCGGCTCTGAGGGTCACAGCGGGGGCCTGGGGTCAGTGAGGCTGGCCGCTGCAGAGGGTCAGGGACAGCTCCTGGATGCGTGGAATGTGGTTCATCGCGGGGCGCAGTTCTCCTTAGCAGATTCACGATGCGCTCACAGCTCCATGCGCTGTTGGGTGCGGGAAGGGGCGGTCACTGGCGGCCACGGGGCATGACCTGGGAGGCCCGGCTCCCTCTGGTCCCTTCCTCCCCTCCCCTCCAGCCGCCAGGGCTTCCACACCTTTCGCTCAGCCAGGCCTCGGACATCTGCTTCCACCTTGGAGCCCGCCGACCATGCACAGAAACGGACCCACAGTGAAGCTCTCCTTCAACTGTGGAATACTGTGCCTCCGGGGTGGGAAAGTGACCACGACAGGGGGACGCTACTTCCAAGAACCCAGTCGGTGGGGTGCTGGCATTGTTCCCCTGAGCCCTGTGTGCACAGGCTATAAAGAGCTGAGTTATGCTGGGGTTTCTGGTAATGATGATTTTCACAAGATCAAAGAGGCCAAGTCAATCTTGTGTCTCAAATATGAATTTGTGATGTGTGTTCTCTTAAAGTTTTGCTGCAGTCTGTCTGCCGCAGCCTGAACTGAGCACCCTAGCTCTGAAATGTTGGGTGCTAATACCACTTGTCAACAGAAGGAACCAGGGGTTCTTGGGAAAATGGTCAATCCCACATCCAGACAGGAAGTGTACAAGCTTGGCTGACACCGCCTATCACACTGGAAAGCTGCCAGGCTCTGGAAGGCTCTGGGATCGTGTCAGAAGGCTAACCGGCAAACACAGGGTCACCGATAAGAATAGTAACTCTTCAAATTGAAGCATCAAATACCCCGGCTCCATAGGTTCCTAAAGATACAAAAGTCCCTCGTTGGTTAAATTTGTGGAATGGTGGAGATGCAACTTGTATTTTTAAAGCTGATGAATAATCAGGCCCTTACCCTCCCTTCCCTTACAGTGGGCTGTAGGGTGACCAACCAGTGTGATGGGGAGGTCTTCCTCATCAGAGTATTGTAAGTGATAAGTGCAGGTCAAAAAGTGGAATTAACAGTCGTGTGTCTCCACCCCTAACGGAACCGGCGGTCCAGGCCGTGAGCACCAGTGACTGCGGACGGCGCCGGAAGGGACCTCCTGGGGGAGGTCCACGCTCATCCCTGTGGTAGCCCTTCCACAGAAATTCAAACCGAATCAGATCAAGCCTGGACGTGTAATTAACACTCTACAGGGAAGACAGGGACCAGGCCGGATAGATGCAAACGGCATGGGAAACAGTCAGCAGAACCTAGGACACTGCAGGACAAATGAAACTGCAAAGGAATTGTAAAAATAATGCTAAGGAGAAACAGAATGGACGGAAAGAACCAGTAGATTCAGAGAGACTTGTGGCTGCAGTGATGGAGTTTGTGAGATTCTGACTCTCGTAGATGAGAGTGGGAGAGACAAAGGCCCCCAGCAGAGGAGGAGGAAGGCGGGGGGCGGGGAGGTGAGGAGAGAGGATTCACAGGCAGCGCGAACCACAACTCTGGCTCGAAACAGCCAGGATGTGAATCCACCGACAGAGGCGTGGGTAGAGAGCGCGGCTCGCACACGCGGTGGTTACGGCTCTCTGTGAGGGGATGGGAGCTGCTCAGGGCAGCGAGGGCAGTGGACCTGGGTCGAGGGCATTGTGGTTCGCAGACCAGGTCAGGCAGAGAAGACACACCGTGTGCTCTCACCCGCAGAGGAGCCTGAAACAGCTGCTCCTCTGCAGCTGAGAGTAGAGTCGTGGCACGGGAGCGGACAGGGAGAAGGCAGGGGGTGTGGGGAAGGGTAGGTTCGGCGCTCTGTGGCGGGGTGGGGTGGATGTGGTTAACAGCAGCACTTAACAGACCTGAAGACAGGAGAGAATTTGGCACGTACTCAGCACGAAGAGGCGAGCAGAGCTCAGGGCGACAGAGATGCTAATTACCTTGGTTTGCTCATTATGCACCATGTGTACAGATCGGACCATCGAGTATTGCCTCATGAGTATGCACAAACATTTTGTGCCAATCAAAAAATAAAAAATTATTTCTAATTTTCTTGATGCCGTCTTGAAACTCTGGTTATGCTTTTTTTTTTTTTTTTTTTGAGACAGGGTCTTACTATGTAGCCCAGGCTGGCCTCAAACTCAAGGCAATCCTGCTGCCTCAGCCTCCCAAGTGCTGGGATCACAGGTGTGTGCCACCACAGCTGGCTTTGGTTATGCCTTTTTTTTTGATGCAGGGTCTCACTTCAGGCTGGCCTTCAACTCACTATGTAGTCCAGGCTGTCCTTGAACTCACAGTGATCCTTCTGCCTCAGCCTCCCCAGTGCTGGGACTGCAGGCGTGCCACCATGCCTGGCTGGTTATGCTTTTTAAAGGAGTATTTCCAGTGATCAGCACTGAGCCCTGGGTGCAGTGGTCCCACGGAGCCCGTGGTTGTTGCGATCAGAAAGTTGGTCCACTCCATGGGGCTCCTTATCCCGCCTCTGCTTGCAACGTTTCTCAGGTGGCGGCCGGCTGGCCTCCTCTGCACCGTGCAGCCCACTCCTGCAGGAGCTGGACAGGCGGTCGTGTGGATGCGGGACCTGGCTGTGTCCCGTCAGCAGCCCCCCACAGACCCACGCGTTTCCAGGGCTGGGTTCTTCATTTCAAAGTTGTCCGGGAGACTGGTGCCAACGCTGACCGCTTGCTCCCCAGGTCCCGGGATCTCCAGCTACGGGGACCACCCCCAGGACGCCCCCATGGCCTTCGAGGACTGCATGGAGAGGGTCCAGCAGCAGGTCCCAGCCCCCCTGCATGGGTCCACGCGCGTCTACCTCGGGGCCACGGCAGGGATGCGCTTGCTCAGGTGAGGGCTGTGTGTGCCCGCGAGCTGGCAGCGGGAAGCGCCAGCCAGAGTGGCTCTGCCCGTGACTGCGCAGCGCTTGGGCCTTCAGTGGGAGCCTTTGTGTCAGTAGCCGGCACGGAGCAGCTCTGAAGCCCATTCCTGTCCCAGGGGATTTTCTCAAGAGCGTAGACGAGGACGGTGATGGTGCCTGCTCCTGGCGCCTCCACTTCTCTAGAAAGCCCTGTGGGAGCCGGCACAGCAGCGCAGAGAGCAGCCCCGGCTCTGTGGCCCCTGCCTCGGACACAGTGTCCTTGGGGCCGCGGGAGCGTGACAGGAAGGCGGCCCCACCTCAGTCAGCGCCTTGGAGCTTGTGATTCAGATGGGTGGATGGACGGACCCATGGACGGCCCCGTTCGCTGGGACTTTTACCCAGCGGCGTTGCTGCTCTGTCACACACAGATACATACATGTGCGCACACAAGTGCCTGTGCACGCGCTTTGCCCTTTATTGTAGAATTTCCTTGACCTTGAAATAAAAGCAAAACAGGTTCAGAAACATCTGCCGTAATCTACTCAGAGTAGAGCCGCCTTGGGTCTCGAATTAGGCTCTCACCGGAAGGCGATGCCGCCTGGCCTTGGGCACCAGCACAATGCCAGCTGTGCCAAGTGATATGTGTCTGGGCATGAAGACTGCACAAAGGGACAAACCAACCGACGCTTTAACACGGTCCTGCGGAGACACCCCACACGCAGTGGTGCAGGTTCCCTGCCCGCTCTGCTTCCCGAGCCCCTTGCTAGCCCACCGGCAAGGGGACGGCTCCCTGGAGAAGGGAGCAGGGTGCCGTGTCGTGGGCGACAGACTTGTGGGGCAGAGCACGGACAGTGCTCAGTCTGAGGACCACGTCCCCTCCCAGAGTGAAGGCGGCTGTGTGTCGTGTGCCTGGGAGCTGGCCCTCTACCCTCTGCCCTCAGCAGTCTCCGGGCTCTGACGGTCCGTGAGGCGCCCTGTGCTGTGGGAGGAAGCCGTGGGGCTACCCGAGGGCTGGAGAAAGGAACAGGAAGAGGGAGGGGGTGTACTGAATGGAAAGCCGCTTCCCTGCTAGCAGTCTGACAGGTAACAAGTTCACGGGTGTGAGCTGCAACTTGCAAAACAGGTTGTGGGTCGGGCTGCGCACACACCTGGACGGTTGTCCTGGGGCGGGCCGGCGCCTTCCGCCCGTCTGGGAGACTGACTCTCAAGGACATTTGGGTTCTGTGCCTCCCACAGGTTGCAGAACGAAACGGCGGCTGATGAAGTCCTGGCCAGCATCCAGAGCTACTTCGAGTCCCAGCCCTTCGATTTCCGGGGCGCTCAGATCATTTCCGGGCAAGAGGAAGGGGTGTACGGATGGATCACAGCCAACTACATTAAGGGCAACTTCCTGGAGGTGCCGGCTTGCCTCCTGCTCGCTGTCCTTCTCGCCCCCGGGGCTCAGGCAGGGCACGGCATGGGGCTTCCCGCCTGGAGCACGCAAGGGCACTCATGGGGCAGTGGCTCAGAAAGGAGGCTCCCTGCAGGTGGGGAGCTGGCGGTGAGCAGAGCCGAGCGTGTGGCGGGCGGGGTAGACTCACTTCTCGAGAAACCGGGCAGAGCCCACCTCCCCCAGCCTTGCTGCCAAGTCCCAGAGGAGAGGCGCCGCCTGGCACCTCCCAGGGCCCCACATTCCAGCCCCACACGCCCTGCGCCTGGGGACAAAGGGAAGTCACGTGTGCTACACAGAGCGGGACACTAGGGAGTCAGGCCATGTCCCATCCAAAGCCCTTTTCACCCTCCCTTAAACGTATTTTTTAACGTTAAATTAATAGTCATGGCGAGTACTTGGGACAGTGTCACATGGAAACGCATGTCCAGGGCTCCCGAGCCTCTTTCCTGCACACCCTGTCACTTGAAGATCTGATGCATGCGCTGTGGGCACAGCCAGCGGCAACTGAGGGCCACCCTGGGCCACCAGCCCTGCTGCCCACCAGCTCGGGCGTCACCCTGCCAGGGCCAGGGAGGGCACTGCCCCCGAACGCTGCCACCCCGTGCTCCTGGGCATCAGGGTGCAGGTGGGGGGACGCAGCCTGGGTGCAGCAGGGCGCCGCCCTCACACCCTGTCCCCTGCAGAAGGACCTGTGGCACATGTGGGTGCACCCGCACGGGGTGGGCACCACCGGCGCCCTGGACCTGGGCGGAGCCTCCACGCAGATCACCTTCATGGCGGAGGCTGCAGGGGCCCTGAACACCAGCGACGTGGTGCAGGTGTCTCTGTACGGCTATACGTACACGCTCTACACGCACAGCTTCCAGTGCTACGGCCGAAACGAGGCTGAGAAGAGGTTCCTGGCATTGCTCCTGCAGGTACCAGGGCCCTGGCGCTGCCCGTCTGGGCCTGATGCGCCCCAGCGGTCAGCTTCCACTCCCTGGGAGGTGGGGAGGTGGCGTAGGCTGGTGGCCCTGCACTGTCCTCCCCAGCCTCCTCCTCCTCCTCTTCCTCTCGCCCTCCTGACCACTTCCAGCAGATCTGAGTACGGAGTCCAGGCAGGTTCCCAAGCTCCAGCTGTTTCATAAATGATTCGAGCCCCGGGGTCCCCTGTGGACACCATTTCCAGCTAGCTGCTGGACGGGCCTGACAGCCTCGCGAGCCCGGGCACAGACAGAGCAGCAGCAGCCGCCAGGAGAGGCCGGAGGGGGTGCAGCACAGAGCTGCCCTGCACAGCCCCCGGGGTGGCTGGGCCTGTGCCTCGGGAGGCCCCAGGGGTGGACTGCAGGGCCGTCCAGTGTCTCGTGTGGGTCAGAAGACACTCTTAAGTGAAAACGTGAAAGGCAGTGCAGTGTACCTAAGGCACTGACATGTATGATGTGAAAAAGAGAGAGGACAAGCAAATCCATTCGCAGGTGTGCCTGAGACCTGTGAAAGGCCCTGGCCCCGCCAGAGCTGGCTGAAGAGGGTGGGAAGGAGAATTCTTTCTCATAGTACGTTTATTTGTACCTTTCGGATTATTTTGACTAGATAGAGAGGCTATTCAAAATGATACATTAATCTAAAGATACCTGTTTTCTCAAAACCAGGGCGGAGGTCCCGAGACCTGCTTGCAGGGTGCTGACACAGATAGGAAAGGCAGGAGTCACTCTGCCCGCCCCTCCCCTGCTGGGTGGTCTGCCTGCCTGCTCACAGGTGCTGTGACGCAGAGCAACACTTCCCAGGCTCTGTGCTGGATTGGGGGTCGTGAAGAGGGACTGACCCCTGCCTCCATCCTGTGTCCACAGAATTCTTCTGCTGACACCCAGGTCACCAACCCCTGCTACCCTCGGGGTTACCGTGTCACCGTCCCTATGGGCCAGGTGTTCAACAGCCTGTGCACCGCCCAGCAGAGGCCAGCCAGCTACAATCCCCTCCGCAGTGTCATTTTTGAAGGGACAGGGGACCCATGGCTGTGCTGGGAGAAGGTGGCCTCCATATTTGACTTCAGGGCCTGTCATGGCCAGGAAGACTGCTCCTTCGACGGGGTCTACCAGCCGAAGGTCCAAGGGCCATTCGTGGTGAGAACACTCCGGAGACCAGGCTGCAATGTGGACAGCTCACCCCTGGCCTGTGTCCCTCCTGCCCCTGATCCCTGCACTCCCCCGCCCGGACGCCCCCATGTCCCCAGCCTGAGCCCCTCTCCTCCCATGCTGTCTGCAGGCCTTCGCCGGCTTCTACTACACAGCCAGAGCACTCAACCTCTCGGGGAGCTTCTCCCTGGCCACCTTCAACGCCAGCACCTGGAGCTTCTGCTCCCAGAACTGGGCTGAGGTTGGTACCGGGGCAGGCGTCGAGGTCAGTGTGAAAGCATCACAGGCATGTTCCATCCGTGCACGTCTGTAAAAGCGGGGGGCAGGGAGACCCCTTCACACCTGGTTGTGTGGTGTTCTGACCACATGGCGCACAGCGGTGAGGCCGGCACTGGTGAGCTGGAGATAGCTACTCCGAGTCGCTGTGCATGGACAGCTTCGTCATTGCGGAGCCCTTTGTATTACAGAGGCTGAGGGGGAGATTTCCACAAGGTCCGCTGTTGGCTCTGGAGCCCTGAGATGTGCGTCTTGGGGTGCCCACCTGCACCTCTTCTCAGGGGCCCTAACTTCCTCGGCAGCTCCCTCTCCTGCTCCCCAAGTTCGATGAGGTGTACGCCCGGTCCTACTGCTTCTCGGCGAACTACATCTACCACCTGCTGGTGCAGGGATACAAATTCACCCAGGAGACTTGGCCCCAAATCCATTTTGAAAAAGAAGTAAGTTGAACCCCAAGTTCCTTTCTCTCCACCCTTGAAAAGAGGCTCAGGTACCCAGGAGGGCTGAGGAGAGACAGAAGGGTTCGGGACAGAGCTCTTGGGCGCAGCTGAGCTGACAGGGAGTGCGCGACCCTCCCTGGAGAAGAGGCCCTGGGGACATCGGGGCCTCCTCCAGACGGGAAGAGAGGGGCCAGAGGACGCGGCTCCTGGGGCTGGTGGTGTCTCCTGGCTCCTTATTCCCAGGGCCAGTGCAGGGCAGGGACTTTGCAGAGTGACTGCTGAGGTGGTTAGGCACTGAGACTTTCATCCTGAAGAGAAGCCTCAACTGTAACCTAACTGTAAGACAATAATAACATTTGTTGTTCTCATTTGACAGAGTCAGAGTGAGATCAGTTTGAGAGCAAGGATTTGCGTTAGCACATTAAACTCCAAGTTCCTCCTTAAAGGAGCCCGAGGGCACTGCGCTTACTGACAGACTTTGGAAGCCCTTTGGGCTCAGATTTCACATATAACTTATACCTGCCTATGAGTAATTGTCACGTGACGACGGTGACTCTTGTCAAGGACCAGCTGTCTGCAGATTGGCAGGACAGCCATCAGCAGCCCAGAGGACCCCTCCTGGCGAAGGTCTGGCCAGCCCGGCCCTGTCCCAGAGGGGCTCTCTCATTTCAGGAGCAGCAGACTTGGGTCCTAGGTGTCTGGAATCAGCCTGTTCGTACCAGCCTCAGATCATTAGATTAGACCAAGCAAGACGCTGCGTTAGTCTGGGCTGTTTCCACAGTCATCTACAGAAAGTAAGGACATCCGGGGACATAAAGACGGTGATGTCTGAGCTTAGCTTCTGACAAACCATCGCTCTTGAGAGCACGAGTGTGTTTCCGTGGGGCAGAGATCTGGGCCGAGAAGCCCGGGCTTTAAATTCTTTTCCTTTAATCGTAAAAAGTCAGGTGAGGCTGGGCGTGGTGGCGCATGCCTGTAATCCCAGGACTCTGGAGGCTGAGACAGGAGGATTGTTGTGAGTTCAAGACCAACCTGGGCTACAAAGTGAGCTCAAAGCCAGCCTGAACTGCATAGCGAGACCTTGTCTCAAAAAGACAGAAAAAAACAAAAACAAAAACACTTTAGGTGCAATTGGGGCAGTGTATACCTGTCACCCAGAGGCTAATGCAGGAAGATTGTGAGGGGACAGCGCTGAGGCCTGGGCACACACCTCCTGGGCTACATAGGGAGATCCTGACTCAAAAAGGAAGTTTTAAAAAAGAATATTGTATCCAGCCAAGTTAGTACTTAAATATCAGGGTGTAAAAGCTGGCAGTTTTGCCACTAAGACTTACACTGCGAGTATCTGTTTGGAAGTAGTAATCAAATAAGAAGAGAAATAAACCCAGGAAATGTTACCAAAAGAACGAGAGTAAGAATTAGTGGTATTATAACCACTAACAAAGTCCATATCCATTTTTATCCACTGATAACAATCCATCTGCATAAGACATGGCAGCCTAAAATTCTCGTCACAAGGTCATACAGATACCATGTTGAAGGAAAGAAAGGAAAGGGGGTTAATATAGCAGCGTAACCCTAGTGGGAATTGTGAGCGATTCCCTAGAGAGAAGTCCCCACAGATCAACGACATCAATGGTCCCTAGCAGGCTGTGTCGTCAGACCTTTCAAAACCTAGCCCAGTGATGTCTAAGCCTAAGGACATGGAGACCCTGAAAATAAGAAGAAATTTCTTTACTGATTAGACAAATACTATCCAAAAAAAAGTTGGTGTTTTGCTTGCAAACAGTTTGGTTGGCAAACAAAAGCGTCTGGCAAATGTATTGTTTACAAACTGTCCTTTGGGTGACAAACACGACCGCGACCACCTTCTCCAGAATCGCGGGGTGATCAGTCTGTGAGTCGAGGGACCCTGTACCTGGGAAACAGTCCTTAGGGTAAACAGCATCATTTGAGACGGAGGCCACAGTGTAACGATAGGAAGCGCAGTTCTCTTACAAAGATTGCAAATCCAGAACGTTTATGTATTAACAAAACCGCCTAAAAACATGAAGCCAGACTGAGTGGAGCCGGCGGAGAAGTTGGTGAAGCTCACTTCCTAGGTGTCCCCGTCCTTAAGAAGAGGCCCTCTCTTTAGCTGGGGGCACTGCCGGCCCGAAGCCGCTGTCCCTGGCTTCGCGGCCCTTGTGCCCTCTCCGTGGTGCTGAAGGGAGCTGGTCCTCCGTGGCCCCCGGGGGTTGGAGGGCCCAGGTCCTGTGGGGCCTCATGGATGGGTGGCGTGTGCCCAGGCCTCAGCCCCGTCCCCTCCCCTCCACAGGTGGGCAACAGCAGCATAGGCTGGTCACTCGGATACATGCTCAGCCTCACCAACCAGATCCCGGCCGCCAGCACTCTGGTCCGCCTGTCCATCCCACCGCCCACCTTCATGGGCCTCCTCGCCCTCTTCGTGGCCACCGCCTTGCTGAGCCTGGCCATCCTGTCCTTCCTGTGCTCTTCGGCCAGGACAGAGAAGCGCTCCGAGCACGCCCTCGAGCACACCGTGGACACCGACTGAGTTGGAGCTGGGCCGCACAGGGCCACCCCCAGGACGCAGTGCCTTCCCCCTGAGCACCGCTCCTCTGAGACCCCTGCCAGCCTGGGAGGGCACGGCGCACCCTTCGCCCTGCGCCCGCATCCCCCTCCCCGAAGGGGATGTTGGAAATATGACGGCTTGTGGGGACCCAGGGCCACTTTCCATTCCCTCTGGTGTCAGATGCCTGTAGCTGAACCGTGACCATCCAGCGGTGCTCTCGAGGCTCCTCCGGGACCTGCCCAGACTCTGCCGTGGGGTAGGGACGCAGCATGGGCTGGGAGCGGGGGCCGCGCCCTTCATCCAGCAGGACCTGAGGCAGAGACCGCTGTACCAGAAGCTGTCCTGGGCTGGCGGCTCCCACGCGCCTCCCCTTTGTCTCAGCCGGCCGGCCCAGGCACACGTGCGGCCCCCACCACGCTGGCCCCCAGGATTTGCTTACCGGTCACCTCCCAGGTCCAAAGCCACCCTACAGAGCGGCCTGGGACTCCAGGGAGAGGAAAGCAAGCTGCGGGGACGCTGGCCGCCGGCGTGGACGAGAGGGGACTGGTACGGCAGGGGCCGCGGCAGGGCTCAAAAGCAGCGTTTTCGCATTGCTGCTGGGCAGCGCATCCTGAATAAAGAAGCCCATTCTGACTTGCACTGTGTGTGAACGCGTGCCGCTCCACTCCCGCGGACCCAGGCAGCTTCCCGAGAAGGCAGTGACCTGAGAGAAGCAGGCGGAGTGTCGCTTTGTTCCGCATTCAGGGCACTTTCTCCTTAAAGTGGGGTCCTGGGGGTCCTCGGGCCGTGTCTCCGTGCCTCGCCTGACCTTTGCAGCCTCAGGGCCCTCACTCTCAACAGCTGCCCTTCGAGGTCCAGTTCCACAAAGCTGTCTACACACACCCACACACACCCACAACTACCACCCCCACCCCCCCCGAACCAACCACTTTTTCAGAACTCGTCCCATACGTTCTTATGTCTGTCTTTGTGGGGGTAGCTGAGTTCTAAACCAGACGTAGACAACTCCACCCTGCCATACCTCACTCACTCAGCAGACGCGGAGAAACACCTCACACCTGCAGGTGTGATTTTGGATCTGGGTTAATGCTGTGAGCGCAGAATCTTCTCAATCTGCTGGCTGGGTCGTTTCCATAAGTGAAAGAGGGACAGGTGATGTCGAGGATGACAGAACCCAGATCAGCAATAGCCTGCAAGAAAAGACTGTCACGGAGGCCAGAGGGCCGGGGCCCCACGCAGAGACCCTCGCCAACGCCCCCAGCCCACTCGGGGCTCCGGAGTTTCTGACATGAGTCACACAGTCCTCCCGGGTACAGACTCTGACATCAGCATCTAAGGGGCGTCTCCGTGACCGAGGTGAGCAGCGTTCTGGTCCCCCGCACCTGCACCCCCTGGCTGCTCCTGTGATTTTTCCTGACCACAGTTACCAGGCAAAGGGCTTTGCAAGAAGAATTATCAGCCCACCTTGAAGTGGAGGCCTCGGCTGTGCAGGCTGAGTGCACTGCCTGAGCTCATGCATGATGGGGCATCTTCTCCAGGAGCAGAAGTCGGGTTCAGGAATAAAGAGGGTTCCTCGTGCTGCAGCCAGCCTGGAGCTCCAGGGGGCCGCATGAACACAGACAGACAAGGCCAGGTGTGGCGGTGCACAACTGGAACCCCAGCACTCTGGGAAGCTGAGGCAGGAGGACTGCTCTGAATTCAAGGCCAGCCTAGGCTACCTTGTGAGAGCCTGTCTCAAAAATAACTCTGGTGGCAGAGGCTGGGGAGGCAGCTCAGCATGAGTACCCCAGGAGAGACAGAAAGAAAGAGAGGGGAGGGAAAGAGAGGAGTAAGCAGGGAAGGGAAGGGCAGGGCCTGAGAGCCGCTTCAGGAGCGGGGTGCCGCTGCCTGACAGGCTGCAACAGAGGTCGCCCTGTCCTGCATGGCAAGGAACTGGACTCTGCCAACAGCTGTGTGACCCCGCTTCTCGCAGAGGCTCCAGACCGGCATCCACCAGGACTCACAGCTGACCGCTGCTCTCCCAGCCTGGGTTCCCCCACCCCAGAAGCCAGCTGAGCTGCCCACTCTGGACCTCGGGCTGGGTGGTGAGGGGTGGGTACTGTTTGGAGCCCCAAGCTCGGCCAGCACAGGCTCAGAAAAGGAGCCCCAGGCCCAGCCAGAGTGGGGGCTGCAACTGTGCTCTGGAGAGAAACACCTGGGGAAGGGCACGGGTGTCCACTCCCTACGTGGGAGCTGGGAGCGAGGCCTGGCTCAGGGCCATCACGCCGGCAGCGTCCCAGTGGCAGCCTAGGCACAGGCAGCCAGGGGCCCGGTCTGGCATTTGCAGGCTGACACCACATTCTCACAGACACCGGGGCGGGGCGGAGGTGTCAGCCAGGCTCTGGGAAAAATGGGGAACCATGGGTCCCTGTGTGGAAAAAAAAGGGAAATCCAGGTCCTTCCTCACTGCTTGCAAGAACCATGTCCAGGTCTGGTGGAGGCCGAGGTCAGGGATAAGCTCTACAGTTAAAGGTTTCAGAAGAGGAAACAGGAGAATCTCACGGGCCGTTCAGTCTCGGAGCCTTGACTCCGGGATAAAAAGAGGACCACGTCTGCCTCGTGGAAGGGCAAGAGCAGTGCGTCACTGAGCAGAACCCGGAGCGCAGCGTGGCCAGGAAAGGCAGGTCAGGAAAGTCCCTCTTCCCTTGCTGTCCTTCATCCAGACACACAGGCCACAGGCCTGGCCCCGCCCATGGCCAAAGCTGCTGCAGGAGCTGGACCCAGTCCTTCCTCTGCAACCTGGGCCTCGAAGGCCCTCTGCTGGCACCGGGAGAAAATCCTTTCAGGCTGAATTCTGTTTTGCTTATTCCTAACTAAAGGTGGTGGGAAAAAAATCATTAGTTCAAAAATACCTTTAGGGCTAGGGGTGGTGCTCTGGCCTTGCACACGAGGCCTGGGCTGCATGCTTTGTGCAGAAATTAGCTCTGTGTGTTCATATGAGGTGAACTATACAACACATTTAAAATATATCCATCAGCATACATTTTTTTTTTTTTTTTGGTACCAGAAATCGAACTCATGACCTCAGACTTGCCAGGCAAGCACTTACACCGCTGAGCTACATCCCCGGCCCCAGCATACATTATTGAATTTATACTACTACATTATAAAATAAGGAGGCAGTTGGACATGTGACTACTTAATGTTACCCAGGAATGCCTGCTAACTTTTGCTGAGATGAAGTACTGTGACGTGGACTTTTTTCCAAGAACACAGCGCTGAGCTGCTCACTCAGCTGCTCCCAGCTGAAGATCCCATCCCTTCCATCCTGTCTGTCTTCATGTCTGTGTATCCAGGATCCAAACCTAGGCTGACCTACAGATTCCACGCAACCCCAGTCAAAATCCCCACTCTGCTACCAAGAGAAGTGAACCAGTCGCTTCTAAACTACCTGCAAATACAAAGGACCTAGAGCCGCCAAGAATGTTTCAGAGCTGGCGCTGTGTCCGTGTGCAGAAAGCTGTTCAGGAGCATTCACAGCAGCTGTGGTTACGGCCCTGATCCAGAAAGTTCCAAACGCCCACCGGGAAAGGAGAGCCCAGCCATGACAGTCACGAGCACAGTGCAACTCAGCAACACGTGGGGTTGGCCTCTGAGCACCCTGACAACACAGCTGACTCTCAGACACCAGGTGGGGTTGGGGCAACCCTGCAAAGTGTGGGTGCTGCACATGTGTGCAGGCAGAAGAGGTGGGCCGGAGCCACAGTGTCAAGGTCCCCACGGTGGCCGGTGGAGGGCGACGGGGTGAACGGGGTGTGAGTGTCGTGCTCTGCACACTCAGAAACTCACTCCGTGTAGGCTCGAGGTCTGTGCAGCCTGCTTTAGGGTTACTGTACTTTAGAGGGGAGAGGTGTTCTAAGACAGCTGGATAGACAGATGGACAGCAATGGAAGACTGGTACATGGATGAGAACTTCCAGCTCAGTTTTTTTTTTTTTTTTTTGTCTTTGGGACTCAATCTTGCTATGCAGTTGAGGCTGGCCTTGAGCTCACTTTGTAGCCCAGCTTGGTCTTGAACTCACAACAATCATCCTGCCTCAGCCTTGTGAGTGCTGGGATTATAGGCATGCACCAACACCCCATGCCCGGCCTACATGATACATCTTGATTCGTTTTCCCATCCCTTCCCTTCAAGCCCTCTTCCCCTCATGCCCATTTTTTCCTTCTCGTCTCTTTTGCAGGTGTTTTTTCAATGTTATACAATTTCTTCTCAGCCAGATGTGATGGCGCATGCCTATAATCACAGCACTTGGGAGGCTGAGGCAGGAGGATTGCTGAGGCCAACCTGGGCTCCGTAGTGAGTTGAAGCCCACTCTGAACTACACAGCTAAGACCTTGTCTCAAGAAACAATTATTTCTTCTCTAGGAATATGCTATTGGTAAGATTATGTTAAAAATTTAGAAACAAATTAGTATTTCATCTTTTTTTCTTTTTTGGTACTGGGGACTGAACCCAGGGCCTTCTGAGTTATATCCCCAGCCTTTTGTTTTTCTCTTGACACAAGGTCTTGCTAAATTGCCCAGGCTAGGCTTGAACTTGTGATTCTTCTGCCTCAGCTTCTCAAGCTACAGACTAGCTGTGCTCACCATGCCCAGCTCATACCTCATCTTACACTAACTCACTTCTTTGGTGTTTTGTGTTTTCATCTGGACCTAGCACTTGAAGTATTTCAGCCTGTGGGCTGATTCTGGCCTCCACTGTTGTATCTCTATGGCCACTTTTGAGATAAAACAGCAGATGATTGGCTGCAGCTGAGACCATATGTCCAGCAAAATGTAAAATATCCACTACCACACCTTTACAAGAAAGGTCGTGCCAGGCGTGGTGGCCTGTGCCTGAAATGCCAGCACCTGAGCGTCCAGGACCAGCCTGCACTACATAGTCAGTTTAAGGCCAGCCTGACCTACACAGTGAGACTTCAGGTCTGTCAAGAAGCCAAAAAGAAGCCAGGCGTGGTGGTGCACGCCTGTAATCCCAGCACTCAGGAGGCTGAGGTAGGAGGATCAGTGCGAGATCGAGACCAGCCTGGGCTACAAAGTGAGCTCAAGGCCAGCCTGAACTGCATAGCGAGACCGTCTCAAAGACAAAAAAATAAAGAAGCCAAAAAGAAAAGGTTGCCAACGCCAATACGGACTTTTACCCCAACATCCCTTCAAGGCTGAAATTTTGTTTTTGTTTTTTTGAGACAGGGTCTTACTAGGTATTTCAGGCTGGCCTTGAATTCATGGTGATCTTCCTGTCTCAGCCTGCCCCGTGTAGGATTACAGGCACGAGCCACCACACCCGGTGGCTCTAAGACACTTGGACACAGGTAATTTCAATTCACAAGCCAGGTGCCAAGCGCACAAACAGGACCCCGGGTGTACTTTGCGTCTAGGACGGACGTGGCTGCTTTCAGTCTTGCCTTGCTTTGCACTTTGCAAAGCAGCTTCATTTATAGTCCACCTAACGCCGGCGTCCCGTGCACTCAGGCGGCTGCGGCCGGCTGGAGAAGACGGCGGTCTCCATAGTGAAGAACTGCAGTGCAGACAAATTAAAAGCTTAGAGCAAGATGAAAGCTAATTGAAGAACAAGTGTTTTCTTAGACAAGCTATTCAACTCCTCTCATACTAAATACAATGTTTTGTTTACTCTGAGCACAGACTTTCAAATTAAGTATTAACGCTGAAGCTTTAAAAAAGCTTTGACCGTTTCAAAAATGTCAATAAAGGGGCTGGGGATTTAGGTCAGCGGCACAGCGTCTGCCTGGCAAGCGTGAGGTCGTGAGTTCGATTCCTGGTACCGGAAAACAAACAAACAAAAAAAAAAGTTAATAAAGTAAAAGTATTGTTTTACTATTTAAAAATAAATAAATAAAGTCTACCTAAACTTCCCTTTTCCACAACTGTCTTTTCATTCTTGGCCCAGTGCCCCATGGTCTTGGGTGCATCCTGCTCAGGGCGGTGGACCAACAGACCTGATTTTCTTTTCTGTTCTTTTTTTTTTTTTGTCTTTTTGAGACAAGGTCTGGCTATGCAGTTCAGGCTAGCCTCGAACTCACAGAAATCCTTCTGCCTCAGCCTCGCGAATGCTGCGATTACAGGCGTGCGCCACCACGTGCCGCAACAGACCTGATTTTCGCGATTACAGGTTTGTTCCTGGTGGTCTTAGGCTGACTGGGTGCCCGCAGTCTTGCTCGGCTTCAGGGACTGCTGAATTTTTTATTAGGACGTGTTTGATGTACACAGCGATCACAGTCATTGTGGGGACCTGGTATTACATAACACACCGTAACTTTTTATATCCCCTTCCCCTCCTGCAGATTTTTGAAACATACATCACGCACTTTTCCCGTTAGATGCAACTACACCCATCCACCGTGCCAGGCAGGAACCGCCAAGGCTCCAACACAGCCGGGCAGATGACGCGGCTGACGCTCAACCGGACACTTCAAGAACCTGGCAGGGGACCCTCAACGCTCCCAAGAGAGACAAATGACGCGGCTAACGACACGCACACGGCGACTGGCCGCCTCTGCCGCTCGCACGGTACCCCCGGACGGAAGCGGCACCCCGGTACTGCGCCCTGAGAGAGGACCCGGCCGGTGCGGGACGCCATCGTGTTCCCGGCGGCGCCCTTCCTCCCGCTGATTGGAAGAAGCGCGCCGGAAGGGGACTGAGCGGAGGGAGCCCGTGAACCTTCGGGATTGCCTTTCTCCCGCTGATTGGAAAAGCCTGTGGAACGCACCAGAAAGGACGCGGCTCCGCGGCTAGCCTCCGAGAGGACAGAGCGAGCCGGGAACGCCATGTTGGCTCCTGGCGCCGCCCTCGAGTTGCCCTTCCTCCCGCTGATTGGAAGAGCTGGTCGAGCGTCTAGGAAGGGGCGTGGCTATGCCGCTAGCGTTCGTAGGAGCGCAGAGCAATCCCGGGACGCCATCGTAGTTCCTGGCAACGGGCTCAAGCTGCCCTTCCTCCCGCTGATTGGACAAGTGGGGCGGGTCTTCCGGAAGGCAGAGCTCTCTGCGCGGTCGTCCTGTTTCCGGCCGGGTAATGGATAACGGTTCTCACACTCGGACCTCCTCGAACTCCTGGGTGGATGACAGCTTCCTTGGAGAAAATGGCCTTGCCAGAGTAATGGAGCTTCGGGAAAACCTGGAGCAGCCGGATGCTGCTTGAGCAGGGGCCGTGAGCTGCTTCCTGCTAGGGCGCTGCGGTCGGAGGTGGCGGGGGGAGCCCGGACGCGACTGCGCTGACGCCGCAGAAGGCCTGGCGCGCGGGGCCGGGCAGCTCGGGCTTCGTCCTCGCGGAGGGGATGAAAGCGAAGACCGGGGCTGGGGCTTTAGCTCAGCGGCACAGCGCCTGCCTGGCAGGAGCAAGGTCGTGAGTTCCACTCCCGGTACCGGAAAAAAAAACAAAAGCGAAAACCGGCGGGACTTGAGAGGGAGGTCAGATAATAAGGAACGTCTGTACCTACTTGGGCTGCAAAGTGCGTTTGGCGAGCCACGTGGGGACCTTGTTTTCGGACGGCAGCGCCTCCCCAACCTGCAAATTCAATTCTCCGATGCACAGCTGGGAAACTCCCAACAGGACAAGAAATGCACAAATCTGGGAGGAAAAAGACACAGATACTAAGGATACGGCTTTGAATTTTCACGGCTCACAGCCCCCGACCTCAGCCACTGCCGTCTGCACCCAGGGTAAACACAAGCATAACTTCTCACATCCATGCATCAGTTCTGCCTGTCTTGAATTTTATATAAATAAAATCGTACAGCAGCCACTCTTAGCAGCTGTTCTTCCTGTCAGCTTACTTCGCTCAGTGTTGTAGGAGTCGCCCATGTTCCACGTAGCAGTTGGGGACCTTGCCACAGTCCGCAACAGCTGATCCATTCTCTTGTTTATGAGTCTTGAGGAAGTGTCCAATTTGGGGCTGTTACAAAGAAAGCACCAACGCGGCTGTTCTTGTTTATTTCTTTGCTTTGTAAATTATAAAGCAAGATAGCAAGACAGAAAGACTAATTCATTCCTACGCATTTATTAGGCCCTTTAACAAGCACTGTGCCAAAGGTTTTACCAGGAGATAAAGGATGACAAGGTCCTGCCCTCATGGAACTTACTGTAACTGGCACAAAACAGCAATTCAAGTGGATGGGAAAGTGTATTAATAATTGCAACTGCTGAACGTGGTAGTTACTGCCTGCAAACCCAGCATTCTGGGAGTCTGAGGCAGAATCACCTGTTCAAGACTAACCTTAGCATTTAGTGAGACCCTGTCTTGAAATAAAAAATAAAGGACTGGAGATGTAGCTCAGCGCAAAGTCCTTGGGTTCAACCCCCAGTACCAAAAAGTAAACACAGGCTGGGTGTTGTGGCACACACCTGTAATCCCTATACTTGGGAGACTGAGGCAGGAGGATTGTTGCAAGTTTGAGACCAGCGTGGGTAGCAAAGTGAGCTCAAGTTCAGCCTGAACTGCATAGTGAGACCTTGTCTCAAAACGACAAAAAATGAATAAATAATTGCAAGTGTGATAACTCAAGGAAAAAACTGAGATAGTCAAGCAATAGACAGGCTTTTGTTTTTTTTTTTTTTTTTTTTGGTTTTTCTCCGGTACCAGGAACCGAACCCACGACCTTGCGCTTGCCAGGCAGGCGCTTTGCCGCTGAGCTAAATCCCCAGCCCC